TTCCCTTTTCTACATCACTCTATTTCTCTACCATCTGCTGAAGAATTTTTGCTTGTTGTGTATCACTTACCACTTTTTTTCTCCATTATGAAAATCTTTGTAGTCTCATGGTGCTCCTAATTTAAATACTCTCTATGAACTTAGTCACTGCTTTCTCTTATTTTTTTAGCTTATTCTTTTTTATTTATTCTGGAGAAATACTGGCAGTAAAAGTTGACCAAATATGCTTGCTCTCTCAGTTTGGATAAAAACTCATTGCTTTTAGATATTTTACAGATGCTCCCTTAGCTGGAGAAGTCTGAAATTATTAGGAAATTATCAACAGAACATGGCTTTCAAGTATGTACAGTATCAGCCATTACCCACAAGAAAGACAGAAAGGAGACAGAGAAATGCTGTTGGGAAGACTGAGGAATGTCAGGCTGTTTTACCAGGGAGAGTAAGGAGCGTGGTTTATTTCACCTAGAAAAATTAAAGCCCTAGCTCTGATCCATTTCATTCACCACAAATGCATGCTGCTAGCAAAAGGAACAGTCCAGCCCTCTTTCTGATGATACCCTGATTGATGATACCCTGATTCGCATCCTTTCCCCTCCACCAGTTTAGTACTCTTGAGGCTACAAGGTGAAGTTTATCTGTTTGAAAACCCTGGTTTTGCAGGGTGAGTTTCCAGCCAAGACAGTTCCTCAGGTCAGTTCACAGTCTACTTGCACACTGGTGCCAGCACAAGGGTCAAAGCCTAGGGTTGGTGACACAGCCACTGCTCCATTCAACTGGCTGTGATGGAACACTAAGAACAAATCTGAAAATAACAGTAGCTGGAGGTGTCTGATAGAAGCATGGATAGAAGCAGTGAAAGGAGATGGGGAGATCCAAGTCCTCTGAAGCACTGAGTGATCTGAGGTTCACTGCAATCTTCTCTCTCTTTTCCTCTCCTACTATTTGGCTGCTCAACTTTTACTGCAATGCTTCATATAGTCTCAGACTCAATGTGGGATCTTTAGGCACTTTCTAGTACCAACACTAGCAGCAGTAACATCCTTACATGTTGTTCCCTTTGGCAGTCGTGGAACAGAAGAGAAGATACAGGGACAGGCAACTAAAATTAAGAGGATTACAAGAATTAAAAGAGCCTTCAGTTAGGAGAGGGGAAGGCAGAGGGGGAATATGATCAAAGTTTACAAAATCATCAAGGCCTCAGATGAAGTAAATGCTGAACTGAGAATTCTTCACTGTGTAGTGGCTGCACAGCTTCTCAAACTCATACCACAGGAGGCTGTGGAGGCAGACATCATCAACAGGCTCAAAAAGGAACTAGAGAAATCCATTAAAAGGTCCATGAGCATATACTGAAGGAAACAGGAAAGATGAATCCGCTCACATTCCCATGGAACACTTACTGATGGTACATGGGGAAGGACTGCAGATAGTGGCCATACTTGCTTTTTCTCCTTAAATAGCATCCTTCACTGCCATTCTTGGAGAAGGATTACTAGATGCACCAGTAGTCTGGGGCTGTCTGAAGTTTTATTTAAAAATATTGAAACTTCTTCTAACCATCAGTGTGTTTTTAGGTGTTCCACAAGATTTACTGCTGATGAAAATCAAGGTAATAATTAGATTAAATCCCCACTAAAGGAAGGAATATTTTCACCTGTTCTGTTTTCTTTTTGTATGTTGAGCATCAATGACTCACTACTAAGCCAGTAAACAGCATTTAGAGGTAACTAAGGATTCCTTAGTTAATTTGTGACATCCTTAATTTCTGTCATATGCAGTATAGATTGCTTTAAGAAAGCCTCTTTTTTCCTATGCCACCATAATTTTTCATCTTGACATATTAAGGTAATGTTACCCTTGTGTGCATTAAGCAGGTGCCAACTATTAACCCTCATGCTCCAGAGCAAACCTTCAGTAGCTCCATCACATCCATGCAAGAGACATGCTAAATTGGCTTGCTTTGTCTTTGGACTTTGCTGATCATTTTCTCCAGTTTATCAGATTAAGCAAGATTACAGGGATACACAGTATAAACTGAAACAACAATTTATTCACTATATGTTGTTCTGTTAAGCATCCATTCTTGGAAATGCCACTTTTCTCTGTGTATTTATCTCATATTTAATTTAGGTCTTTCCTGTGGTTAAATTTCTGTCAGCTGGTGTGTAGGCAGTTAAAATATCGTTATCAGATATGTAGTTTCTTACATCATATATTTCATTACAAACTGAATGAATACATTACTCAAACAAAGAAGAATACAACAAAAAAACCCAAAATTATTACTATGAGGCTTTTTGTTTAGCTGGATTATCTGTGTGAATTAATCTTCTATCATTCTCTTTCCATCTGTATTTAAAATAGATATGGCATAATCTTCAACACTAAGTAGCTAATCACTATAGTTAGTCTGACACATCTTCCATTCAGTGGTCATCTGTGCCTCTGGTTTTATAAGGTCTTTACACTTTTTTGGGAGATGTAACTCTTTACATATTAGTAGCTTATTGCTGGGTCAAGCAACATAGTAAGGATTAAATAGATAAAAGTGCAATATTTAAAACTCTGCCTAAGTCAAATAATTAATTTGTTTCAGTATATTCTTCCCAGTGCTATTAGTTTTCCATTAGTAACTTCACAAGTTGATATTTGTAAGCATACATGTCAAAATATAGGCAGTAGCTAAACCTTATGAAAAAGGAGAAACATGCCATAAAAAATTGTTCGTAATTTTTAAATTTGAAGCACATAGTGTTTTCTACACTTGTAGATAATTCTTGTGAAAAAAAAGAACAAACAAACAAGTGTCAAATTCTGCTGGCTTCAAATGCATTTTTTTCCTAATTAATGATCTAATGTAATTTGACAATGTTTGCATTTCACTAGTTAAATCCTCTATTCAGTATAACATAGGCAATACTTTAGTTGGAATCTCTTAATCTAACAATGAAAAATAGATTAATGATTGACTAAAACAGCAGACTTCTTATCCAACATGCATTTCTTTGTGTAGATATATGTGTACACACATGCACACATTACATGATGAGGCCAAGTGGTGCACCAGTTAAATAGTGGTGTTAAATAATGTTGCAGTGGATGTACAGGCTTTCCAAACACAGGGAATAATTCCACAGGCTATTGCCAGCTGAGGGGTATCAGTTCAGTTACCTACATAAACATCAGGTTGAAACACAACTAATCTACAATGAGGGTAAGGGACTTTGGTTTTGAGAATAATCTGTTATGAGTTCACCATTCAATTCTGTTCCAGCAGAGTATTTTTAATTGGATACCAGTCATTTCAACTATAACATTTAAATTCATGTTGTAATATTCATGTCGTCTGCCCTTTAAAAATTCCTGGCTATTTGATACCAGAAGCTGAACAGGTCAGCTTTGGCAGGAGTAAAGAATGGAACAAAGTTGTTTTCATTCAGCTCTTTCTTGGTCTTTCTTAAACATGGCATATCGTGGACTCATGTCTCTTTAAACAAAAAAACAGATTTGGAAACTATTTCAATTAACAGAGTGACTTTAATCCCTATTCCTCTACAACCTGTCTCTGCTTTATCTTAATGGCACTAGTGTGAAACATCTGCAATTAGAAAAGGAGTCTTGCATAAAAAGCTTTTAAAGATATTTTTAACATTCTGACTCAGCATTTTTACCATTCATAATATATTGTCTCTTTACATAGGAACTGTAAACATAAGCAAAGTAATAGTTTACAGTTCATACACAGTGTAAGTCAGAGTAAACTGCCTTTTAAAATTGACATACTATTACTCTCATTTGGTTTTAAGGAGGAACTAGATCTTTCTTGTCATAATTCCTTTTTTTCCCTATTGCTGGATATCCTCCAAAACAGCATCAGCATCCATATTTTCTATATGCAAAGTTCAATATTAATATAATAACTGTCAGTCAGAAGTCAGTAATTATTAGTCATTATTGTTACTGTAAAATGTAATGAGCAGAAGCTTAGGATAAGAGCAAAGAGGATGGCTAACTGCTACTTGGAATGCTAACCTCAAGGATTCATGGAAGAGAACGCCACTCGTGTCAGCTTAGTAAGTAAGAAATCCCTTAACTTATTGTCAGATAGAGATGTGCAACAAGTTACTCAGATTATCATTTGAAACTGATGATGAATTTTTGGTCAGCATAAAAGGAAGAAAACATAACTTTGAAAGATGGGGTTTGGACTAAACCTATCATGTCAAGTTCTTCCAAAGTTGAATTGGAGTTTTCCTATGAATTCAGGGATCACAACGAATTCGTATGAAAGACCATTGCTTTCATCTTCAAAGCAGAACTGAATCCCATTAAGAGTACTAGTTCTACACACTATATAATTCTTGGATCTAGAAGTTGTCTGATCAGACAACAAAAAGTACTGTATGTACTTGAGGCCATATTTGACTGGCCAGGCATATTTTTGATTTATCAGATTTATCACATAGAGGCTACTGTGAATACTGAGCCATGTTTAAGCTGATAGAAAGTATCGCTCCATTTCTTTGAAGGTATAGACATAATTATGCTTTGATTCTTTCCGTCTGAAAGGTTCTTCTCTGGCCAATGGAGGCTTGAATCTACACAGCACTGTGAAGAGGAAACTAGATGGTGAGAAAGATTATGTCTTCGATAAGAGACTAAGATATAGTGTACGTCAAAATGAAAGTAACTGCCGGTTCAGGGACATCGTAGTCCGGAAAGAAGATGGTTTCACACATATATTGCTGTCGAGTCAGACTTCAGATAACAATGCACTCACCCCAGAGGTAAGCATGTAGCCATAAAAGCCACAGAAAGCCATCCTAATATGTGGGTTATCTTGGAGACACTGCACCTGAACTGGATTTTATGTATTTTTATTCTAACTGATTATCCTAAAAAAGAAAGATGGAGTTCAGATTTATCTTACTTTTTCATGCTTGAGATTCCTATCAAAACGAATGCAATGGAAATTAATTTTTAACTCACGTGTCTGAAACCAGAAGTTGGAAGTAAAGAAAGGAAAGGCACGATCAGTATTTCCAGCATGGAGTTGTGTGAAGCAGTTGTTCACATGTTGAAGTTATGATATTTACCATCCTGAGGAGAACGCTGGTCTCACTCATGCTAGTAATTTAAATAGTGCTCCCATTGTTGCATATGGAGGACTTTCAGGCTGTATCCTGAGACAGTAATTCTAAAAGTATACCTTGATCCCTAATTGCTTTTTCTCTAATCACTTTATGAGTCCTTTTTATGAAATCTTAACCAATTAGGGGCTCTATTCTCAGTTGAATTGCATGAAGTTGTACAACATATCAATTATATTAATGAATTCTCTTGTTCCGAACATTATACACTTAGAGATAGACTTGGACTTGTAACTTGTACTAGTCCAGTATGTATACTGGTCACTGGAAGGGCTGAGAAGCTTTTACTTCCATTCCCTGTGATCCCACCACAGTGGGCAGCCCTAGTTTACCTTTCCTGTGTCAGTACAAAAGGGGTGCCAATAAATGCCTACATCAGGGTGCACATCCTGGAGAGCAGACAACATGATTGTGGTGCACGTGGGCAGCAATGGCCTGATGGAGGGGGGTTACCAGAGATCAGAGAGCAAAACAACAGGAGCTGCCTCCCAGCACAATTCTGCCTGTCTGAGCATGCTGGGGGCAGAGTTGCTCCACAAGCTGCCCACAGTGTGGCAGATCTCTACCTTTTCTGCCCTCCAGACAAAATAGTGCAGCTCTGTCTCTACAGTAACTTCAGGATAAGATTATACAAAATATGAGTTCAAGCACCATTTGAGGGAAAAGTAGATTGTAGCTTTGAGGAGTTACTTCGTTCAGTAAGAAAGAATAACTTTTAAATTAATTACTTGTAATGAGCTTCAGATAAAACCACTGGCAGGTATGATGGGCCCTAGCTTTGATTCCCCTTTCCAAATGGACACCTACATAAGGATGTTTATACACAGAATGATACTAAATAGTTAAAACTGTTGGTACATATATTTATCACTCCTGGTTCTAAAACTATATAATATTTAAAAGAACTATCTTGATAATTAACACAGAACACCAAACACCTGCTTTTAATACTAATTTCTTAAAACGCATTAGATTGCATCAAATCCATCATTCCATCCATGCACTAATTACCACTAATTGGCACTGCAGGTAATTTAAAGGAAGAGCTCAAGAGCCTGAAAAAGTATGAAATCAAGGACTGTGTTCAGGCTGAACAGACATACCTTTACGTTGTTGGCTGTGCTGTTCCACATCAGCAGTATTCAAATACTCTAAGCAGTGAATTAATTCAGGCTCTTCAGGTCTGCCAAACCAATCCATTTCATCCTTTGAAAATTTTCAATATGCCAGGAGCCCACCACTGTGGAAGAATAAATGATAAGCATATAATAGTCCTCTTCTTGCATTATCAGCAGAGACTATTTCTAGAACCTTTATTGAAGCTCACTCAAAACCCAGGAAATACATTTTAGAAAACTACATTACTGACCAGGATCTGGATGGTCAGGAATTAATCAAGGTAATGAGTTCTCCACATTGAGATTGTCTGTTTAAAACTCATCCAGACTGAGAGCAATTGAAAGCTCTTGCCCTCTGAAGGCTGCTTGCTGGCAAACATGAAATGACTTCTTTGGCCTCAGTCCAGGCTGCAGCCCATGATCATTCACACTACAAAATTCAGCACCTCCAATATTGGCAATTCCACATCCTTGCTGGCAATTGCAGCAAAAATCCAAGGAGCTGAAAGGAGGAATACGTAGAATGTCTTGTCCTTGCAGTTTGCACCCAGTGCAGTGAAGCAAAATGACAAGAGGGTTTTATGGACATTTACAACATTTTCAGTTTTGATGCCTTTTATCAATGAAAGTACAAACACAAAATTCCTACAAAATTAAGAAAGTGTATTTTATTTCATTTAAAAAAATGCTAACTTCAAGCTTTATTAGACATTCAGTAAATTATGTTTGCCAAACAGTAAGTTATTTACTTACTCAGAGCAGATCTACTTAGTGTGGTTAAAATAGTGCTCTGATTATTCTCAGATGTCTGTGTTAGGAAAAAAAAAAAGTGTGCATTGCTCACAATCATTATAAAATTAAACTTATACAAAATCACTCTCACCCCTAAGCAGTCTTGCTTCCCTTTGTGTTTTACCTTGATCTTCAACCACTGGCCTCTGCTATTTATGCCAATTGAATTAAAATAATTAAGAAGTCAGTTGTAAAAAAAACCAAAACAAAAAACCAAAAAAAACATAGAGAAGTCCACCTGACTCTTCATCCTAACTGTCTGGTAATCCCATCACACCTGTGGGTTTGTGCATGTGATTTTAGCATGCAAGGTGCTGATGCTCCTTCCAGCAGCAGTTGCACTGATTAAAGTTGGCACAGTGTTACTCCAGTAATGGAGGTTTTTTCTACACAATGTTCAAGGCACTATTGAAATTCTTTCTTATATTTTACAAGACTTTATAAAACTTCCATGCCAGTGCCATGAAACATCACAGCTTTTTTATTAGAGTGGCTTAGGCTTGCTACTCTTAAAATTCATTTTAAAAATAGATATGTAAAATATTTCGTCTTTATAAATTCCTCTGGGGCATTTTCTCTCATGGGCCTTTTGCTGCTTCCCAAGTAGTTTCTCCATTGATGATGTTGCTGTTTTAACTCAGCACATTTCACGGATCCAAATTCCATTTCAAACTGAAGATTAAATGGATCCATCCACTGTTTTTACTTTACACAATTAATAGAACTAGGAATGAATATTCTCCTGGATTAAAAGCAAAGCATACCCTAAACAGCTGATGGTTCCATTGCAGGCTGATATAAGCACACTGCTCATACAATGATTTGGGTTGGAAGGGACCTTAAAGATCATCTAGTTCCAATCCCCCTGCCTGGGTTATGTATGTTTTTAGTCTCATACAAAGACAAGGTGTTTTTTTGGCCAGTACTTCTGCCTGAAGCCAGTCTTATAGGATCCCAAGTCCTGTATTTATCAAACAGAAAGGACTCATCATCTTTTTGCACAGAGTCAGAAACAAAAAGAATATTTATGTAAAAAAGAATGATTGTGGAAGAGGTTCTAAGAACAACAGAATTACTTTTAAATTTTATTTTACCTGTAAGAGTATCAACAGTGAATCCTTAGGGTTTCAGAGAAATTAACATTTTAAACTAGTATTTCTATTTATATGAACAGGAGACTTCTGTTCAAGATACTTTCTATAACTGTGGTGTTAAATTCCCAGCTTCCTGATTTCCCTAGAATGTAAGAAATATTGAAAGCAAAGGGCACCAAATGCTTTTTAACATTTCCTACATCCAGTAAGAGGCATTAAAATAAGCTTTTAGAAGTGTAATGAAGTTTTAAACATTTAATGTTTATTTTGCAGTATAAGGTTTCCTATTAAAGAACTAACCAACATCTTTTCTTGACAGGATTACAAAAATAAGCACCTTTGGAGAAAGCGATAATTTTATTATCTATTTGGGTTTCAATAAAACAGTAATTAAGCCTGGTTTAAATTTATAATTTATTAGATAGATAAGTGAAAGAACTGACTTTCACTGTTTTGTAAATACTTCCTCAGAAATTTATGTCAAATGCATTCAAATAAAAATTTCATCCCCATGACTTAAAATTAACTAAAAGACTATTTTAAAAAAGCATGGAACTGGAGAATACTGCTGTGGAGCCCTGGAAATAGTATTATTAGATCTGGTTCACTAGAGAAAGTAAAATTTAGTTGGAATATTTCATATTTGTATCAAAATGAGAGGAAGTTTAAGGACCATGGAAGAGAGAAAAATAATATGGAATCTGACAAGGAAATGTCACAAAACCCCACAGTACATCTATATTTGCAAACTGAATCCACTAATGCATTAAATAGAAATTTGTACTTATAAACAGGCAGCAATTCTGAACTAGAATTATACGGACTTTACAGTTCTGCAGTTGAATACACAGTTCTGTAACCCTTTATTTTATTGTTAGTAGCTTTCCCATAATCATATAAGCACCTGTAGAGAAGTACCCATACCCAAACAATTAATGAGGACAGTTTGATGCCAGGGCATGTGGAGCAGTAGTGACAGCAGGTTGGCTGTAACTAGGCTGAGTGACAAGGTGACCAGGTGAATTTTGGACCCCACCAGCAAAGGAATCTTTGCATAGAACAAGGGAGTGGGAACTGACTTTGCTGGCATTGGTATATTACAATGAGACTCCGAGCACCTTTTGATGATAAAGTTAATGACAAACTTAACCAGTTGGTTTTTTTTAAATGCCACTTTTTGGAGACTGAAAGCACCAATACATTAGGGCTTCCTAGTTCCTGGTATTTTTTTGCTAGAAACTAGTGGGGAAGCGGAACTAAATTTCCACTCTTGCTCAAAAATACTATTCAAAATACTGATAAATCCTTCCCATTTTCACCTATATCTGAGAAACCAGTTCATAGTTACAGATCTTTAATGTCTCCCTCTCCAAAACATTGAAAAAGTAGTAATAACACAGTATTGTTTTTTCCTACAAGTACTATAACCTCTGCTCAAACGTTTGATATAATTTTAGATGACTTTAGCCATCCAAATCAATGAGGGGTAAAATAAAAAAAGAGACAGGTTTGTAATGGCAATGGCATGTTGGAAGGAGAGCAGTGGTAAGATCAAAGAGATGGCACATATTCAGATATAACTTTATGAAGGGAAACAGTAAAGAAAATGGCTGAATGGAGTATCATATCATGGCATCATATTTAAAGCAATATTTCTCATTGTATGTAAAAATATTTGACTGGTATTCTCTGACATGATTTAGACACCCTCCCTAAGAGAAAGCCTATTTTGAGAACATTTAAAATAAACTAAGAGGACAGTCTCACATTCACGTGGAGCTACGAAATCTTTTTTTACTCTAACATCTACCACCTTCTAAAGTTTCTTCTTTAACTTTGAGCAGAGGCTTCAGGGTTTTTTCCTTTGTTTCCTCTTTACCAAATGTGCAGTTTTGCTATGTTTTTACCAACTGAAGGCTGAGACAGCCTCTGAGACTGAGAATTAACAGTACTTGTAAAACAGCTGATGAAATTTTCATGCCTGCACCAGAATTTCAAATACACTTCCAAATTCTGCTGCTTTTAATTACTTCACTTCCACCCACTGTCACATACTTGTTATTACAGGCATTCTGAAGTGCACTTGAAACATCTAAAAGTTTGTTACCTGCATTCTCTTGTCCCAGCCTCAGCACTCAGTAACAATCATTTGCAAACAAGTATGGAAAGCAGGCAGGTAGCATTGCACTGCATGGTTTGAACATACAAGTTCAAGCTTGGCCTCACAAGCTACAGTATTTCTAAATAAAGGCTACCCAGAATGTTATAAACAAAACTTCTTTTCTGTCTGTAGGGACATTTCTTAAATAAGGTACTTCAAAGATCAAAAGAATTTTTTGAAAACAGAAAATAATGGACAAAAATCTTTTTCTGTCATGTGGAAACTATATTTAATCCCCTGACCACATTCTATCTTTCACCTAAATCTACACTAACAGCAAATCTTCCAGTTCAGAAAAGAAAAAATTGACTTAACTTTTGCATGTATAAGTAGTACTTTGACACATCAGTATGTTTAAGCATAGGAAGTGTCACACTGGATAAAATCATGACCCTATTTCAGTAGGAGCAAATCACTACAGAGAAGAGGGAAATGAGTCTGCAGTGGCTGGTATCAGTTACAGCTTACACACTACACTGGGCTGTGACCAAACAAGAAGTTACCCATCAGAAGTTTTGGAAATAATATTTCCTTTTAAAAATCATTACAAAAAACAATTATGCTCAGATGAAAGGCAATTTTCTGACAATACCAGCAGCTCAATTCTATACAGATTTTTATTAGGTTTGATTGATGGTGCAATTAATAGCTTGATTCCATTGTAAATCAGAATGTAAAAATGGCTCTCTCTCAAGTGGCTTTTTTGCTCTAACTTTTACTTTAACAGTATCACTGACCACAGAAAACTGAATAATATATTTGTCATGTTAATGTATATGATGTCCTCTTGTCCTGCCTTGCTCTGGTTCAAGTTATTTAAACCAAAGTAATTGAAGAACTGAAATCTGGGGTTTATTGATTTTGCTTACAAGCGTTGAGGTTAATAGGCTATTGCAGTGATAACCATGTTACTGAGGATACAGTGATGTACCCTGAATATACACAATGAGAATTAAAAACTGATATTTGAAATTACTTCATTGCAATCAAGTAGCATAAGCTAGCTAGAATTTCCCATAGTATAAGCAAAGAGCCAAGTCCTAAAAACTGTGAATTAGAAAACATCTACAAATCACTTCCAAATACAAAATATTTTGTAAACTCTCAGTGTTATCATTCTAAGTCTATTAAAATTATATAAATATCTATATAATTGATATAAGTACTAATAGCGCCCAAAATTGAAGTCTCTCAAAATCAATAAGGTTTGTAAAACTAGGGCAATGATATTGCAACAGCATGCATGTCGAATTGTTTACTTTTCTTTATCCACAGATCATGAAGGAAGTTCGGAGAGCATTGTGCAATGCATCAGCTGATGACAGTAAACTCTTACTTCTCAGCGCAGTGGGAAGTGTATTCTGTAGTGGCCTAGATTACTCATATTTAATTGGCAGGTTATCCAATGACAGAAGAAAGGAAAGCACTAGGATTGCAGAAGCTATAAGGTGACCCAAGCTTACCTATGATATCTAAATTATGAAATGCAGTGTGTGATTATAAAGATATTTATCAGGTCCAAAAATGTTGTATATTGAAGTGTTGATTGCATTCTAATGATAGGCCTACACATTTGTTTAGTAAGAAGAACGTTGGACCTTTCCTTACTAGAAAAGAAAGCACATTTATTCCAGTGCTAATATCCACAGGGATTTCTTTTATTCCACCTCTCTGTATTTAATATTTCAAATCATTCCTCCAAATTCAAATGCAACTTTGTTGTTGTTTTTCCAAATTAGCTATTGCTCCATGTTCTAAATTGGTTCCTGAAAGGCAGATATTTTCATTGTTTTAATGTTCATCTTTTTAATGAATTTCAGTACCAGTGGGAATCCATGGCTTACTCATATTCTGTTGAACTAGCAGTCTGCCACTGTTTCAGAACCTTACTAGAAGGCTTTCTACTCTTTTTCTTAAATTTAAATTACTTAATATATATGTTAATGTAGTTTTATTTTTCTAACTAAAATGTGACTTTCCTTATATATATATATCACATTACCTTAACAGAAATCCAGGGTATGTAACATGCAGTCTACAAATCGGTCTGCACAATACACCACCAAATATTTCCATTATCAGAAGATGCACTTTATACTTCTTGGCAGATCTTCCAAGTATAAATTGACATTACTTCTCTAAAGCAAATTTCACCAGTCTGTACCAGGAGAGAGTTTGATCCCTTTTTTTCCTACTTCTTACAAATAAATATTATTATTCTGAGAGTTTTAAAACATATGCAACAATTGTATGAAAGAATATTAAATCATTTTTTAAAACATATATATATTTTGAGTATATTAGTAGAACACAAGTGAGGCTTAGCACATGACGTATTAACCACCAATTATCTTGGTTACAACTACTACAGATCAGTTTGGATTCTCAGTTTAGTACTTCTGAAATTCTCAAAGTAGTAATTATTTTGAAAGAATTTAAGATGTACTTCTTAAATATAGTAAATTATGATCTGTTTTGAAGACCCTAGGTATGCTTGAATAGCATTAATGTTTAAAAAAGGAAAAAGTTTTGAAGGACACATCCTAATTTACTATTTTTTTTTAATGTAAGAAATTTTTAGTAACGTGGAACCAAAAAAAAACATGAGGAAAGAAAATCACTATTCTTGTTTGAAAACACAGGCAAACTCCATTATAATATAAAAATATAATATACATGTTCATGTCAATATTGTGTAGATTGTGTTATTCTATATGTATACATTTATCTACACACATTCAATATACACGTATATTTATCATTTCAACATTTAAATGAGTATAAGCCAGACTATGATACTCAGTTTTTCCATCCTTGGACTCACAGAACATTCTTGACATACTGGTACAATGTACTGCTCCTTGTCAAGACTGTCAGCTTCAGGCTCACTGGAAATAGATTTTTATTGTACTTCTGGAAACAATACACTATGTTTTCCATTTTGCACACTGTGCTTTCTTTGAACAAAGGACTCCACTCATGGAAAATACACTCTAACAGGAGTAGAAAAAAATGTACACTTCTCTCTTTTAGTGGGTAGGATGTCCTAAAACACGAGTTGATCTCTTGCCTCCACTGCTTTACATCAAGATAGATAGTATTAAAGTGAAATTAGAATCTTGATTACTGTGTTTCCACTGTCTAAAGTATGGATCTGGTATACTGATCACAAGTTAAAGCTGAAGTTTAAATACCCATCAAGTCTCATCTCAAATGTATGATTTATTCATTTGGCCTTTGTCCTCATCTGCTGCCTTTGGGACTTGCAATTCAGAGATGTGTGGCACTGTAGCTTCTCTCCAAGCCCTGAACATAGATCCATCAGCCTAAGCTGCCATCATCCTGATGTGTGCCTGGCATTGCACTCCTGGAGCAGGAGAAGGCAGACAGACAGACTGCACTGCAAGAGTGCATCTCTGGCCTACAGAGCTCTTCAGTCGACTCCCTGGAAGGCATTCCCAGCATCAGGCTGCCTTGTCATATCATCAGTCAGGCACTATTATGTGATACAAGACATAAATTTTTGGATGTGCTCAGAAGAAAACAAAGAATGACAACTTTACTTGTTCAGCTTCTTTATAGTCTTTAATGAACTTCTGAGCCCTGAGCTGCAGCAAGACCTCTGCAACAATGCAGAGATACCTGAGCATCCCATAGTGTACTCAATGGTCAACTTCCCAGAGATCCTCTAGCAAAACTGAAAGCCTTCTACATGTGACACTTTCCTATCTTTGAGCTTCTGGCTCTACTAAGCAACAGTAGTTACAATTTAAGTCCTTTTCAAAGACTGCCTTGAACTGAGACAAGATTCTTCCAGCCCAGAAACTACATGTGTGAACTTCTGATTTGGAGAAGTGGAAACATGCCAGGTTCTGGGTACAAAGATGACTCAATGAAAGAAATAACATACCAAACAGGGAACACAGATGAGTGGAGTGCTGGACACTACAGCTTCTGCAAACCAGTTACAGGCATTTTTTCCCCTCTCAAGCTCCCAATATTTTTAGCCTTCCTGTCCATCCCATAGATGGCATGTTCCATACCCATCTGTTGTACCATCCTCTGTTCTCCCCATCCTTTCCCCATCCTAGAGGCTCATTTTATCTTCTCAATGTTCTGACCCACTGTCTCCCCATTTCCAGGTCCTCCTGTGCTATCTCACTCATATGAAGATGTCACATTTCCTTCAACCCTCCCCCTCCATTGTGTTCTGCATTGTTCTTCCTCCCCACCATCTAACCATTTCCTCTTCACATCCCTAACTGCTTTTCCATATTCGCTTCCAGTCCTCACATGCCTCCTGCTTTTATCCACAACACCTTTTTCATCTGCCTCCATATGATCCTCAGATCATTTGCCACCACTTATCCATAGTTTGTTTTACCTATCATTGGCCACATCCCCAAGTTCTAATCTGTAGTCTTACTTGGAAGTCTTACTTACTTAATTGCTAAGGTTCTGAAAATTCTGGAATTTATCAGGTGCAGTGATCTACAGTCGTTACTCAACCAAAAACAACTGAAGAAATAACAACATAAGGGAACAGCATTGCTTCTGCAAACAAAAATTAACCACAGATCTACTTAAACATCCTGTCTTCTAGAAAGAAGTGGTCTCAAACAGACAAATATGATGCACCTTATTTCACTCTTTTATCTTACTCTGATCTTCTGTTTTATTACAGACTGTGTACTTACAGAGCTCCATCAATTCCCACAAGTCTCTCCTTTCCTTGTTTAAAATGTAGCCAATGTCCTATCACTTCAGTCTGATGAAGTACTTCTCTTCAGTCTGCTTTCCATTTTGTGCCAAATCAGCACTCTCACCTGCAAGGCACACCTCCTGTTCTCCAGTAGAGAAATCCAGGACTTTTTGACCTCAGTGGAAGAGCTATAACTCATCAAAGGCCATATTTGACAAAATGCTCTTTCCTAGAACCTGTCAGCAAAGATGGACTCTGGATCTAATAAATACCCAGTACAGAAAGAGAATCTCCTCTTTTGTTTTTAATTTGATTGATAGAGGTCTATATTCTGAAGTAATTGAGCATCTCATTTGTCTCCATGTACCTGCTGTGCACTGAGCTGCTGGTGCCCATAATTTGCCCACAATTGCATTCATGCTTTTTCCTAATTGGTGTATAGGCAGTTCTGTTCAACAGATGTCTTTCCACAGTTGCTGGTAGGTAACTTATGTAAAATATCTCCTCATTGCACAGTTTAACATGTTCTAGTTCATTCATCCAGATGAATCCAATCACATTTACTTCCCCTTTATTTCCCATTGTTTCACATTTACTCTTGTAGGCAGGCAAGGGCATCTATTTTGTTATGCCTTTGATAAAGACATTTGCAATGAAGACTCAACAGATCGCTCAGCTAATTCTTTCCCTGTTCAAACACTTCTCTCTCTCTATCTCTGACTCCCCTTTTGTGAGTCTTGATGTTTCCTCTGTTGTGCCATGAACATTTACTATCTCCCAGTCCACTGATGGGACTTGCTGTCAATGGTATACTGTGACATAGGATCATAGGAGAACTTTTTTTGAGAAAAATAAATAGTCAGCAGTCCACCTATAAGTTTCCTGTCTTTCACACTATAATAACAAGTTAATCAAGTTATCCAAACCAGATCATCAGAATCCATACTAGCCACTGTGGAACAAACTGAGATTCGCTGTGTGTACAACTCCTGAGTTACTGGTCCAGAAGTAAAACAAAACCCAATAAAACCATTTTGCAAAAAGTACAAAAGTCAGCTCATATACAACATACACAAAACTATTTAATGTCCCAGGCACTCAGAAAGATTAAATAACTAAATATGAGCAAAATTTTCCATGTGCAAACTAGAATGTATCTTGCAATTCTAACCTCGTAAAACTGGGCCATGATATTTATTGTGTTCACCTGTGGTTGTAATTTGTTTTCAGATTAAGTACTTTAAGATTGGATATTTATCTAAGTGCTATTTCTGTATTCAAGATCTTTCTTTTATTTTTTATTTTAGGGATTTTGTAAAAGCTTTTATTCAATTTAAGAAGCCAATTGTGGTCGCTATCAACGGTCCTGCTCTTGGGTTAGGAGCTTCTATTTTACCACTATGTGATATCGTTTGGGCAAGTGAGAAGGCATGGTTTCAGACACCATATGCAACAATACGACTCACTCCAGCTGGCTGCTCATCATACACATTCCCACAAATTCTGGGTGTTGCACTGGTAAGGTTTTCCACCCCAAACTGCTGAAGAACCTTTCTTAAATTCATGCTCTCCTTTCTCTCTTTAAAAAGTAAACCTGTTTCTCTTAACTGCCATTGATGGAAATGAAATACGTGGAAATTTCATCAAATCCCTATCAATTTCTTATCACAAAATGACCTCAGAATTCAATATATTCCACATGCTGCACACAAAAAGATTGAACACCTTGAAAAAGCAAACAAGATCATGGTAGAAAAGGGAAAAAAATGCATTAGCATAATAATGTTGCAGAGTACTTGTCTGTATTGTGGTAGGATTGTGAAGTAACAGAGCAAGATACTGCTCTCTGCTCTCTAAAGGCAATCCATAATAATTCCATTAAGGTTACTTAGTTTTTATCAGTATAACAAAGCAGAATTTGCCCCACAGAGTATTTTGTGCTAGGTTCCATGACTCTTGGCACAGTATCACTGTATCACTGACAGTTACTCCTGTAAAATCAGCACTACAGACTCATCACATATGCCAGCACATTTCTCTTAAATGAAACCCATGCTGTGCTCTGGCCACCTGCACAATCCTTAAATAGCTACTGAAACTCCTCTTTAAGTATTTTGCAGTATGGAAAGATACAGGAGACCATTTGTGAATGTAATCTTGAAAATAGCAGGCAAGTATGGAGAATTTTTTACAGGAATTATAACTCAAGTAATCAGAAGTAATCAAGTAAACTTTTGGTTTCACAGGCAAATGAAATGTTGTTCTGTGGGAGAAAGCTAACAGCACAGGAAGCCTGCAGCAGAGGACTAGTGTCACAAGTATTTTGGCCAACAACATTTAGCCAAGAAGTGATGCTACGAGTGAAGGAAATGGCATCCTGCAGTGCAGTGGTAAGGAATCAAACTCTTTTATGATTAAATGACATCTCACAGAGGCAAGGTGTGGTCACATAAGAAAGGTGGGTCCTCAGTTTCCACAACCATGTTTGTGGAAGAGGGCTGACAACAGAAAAACTGGGTAGGGATCAGAGAGCTCATGGAGTTTCCTGTTTTTCAGTGGCAAGGAGAGTTGTTTCCTTTCTCCATCTTCCCTTCTATCTGGTATGAGTGGAACCTCCCTGCCTTATATTTTGAAAGGGGATTTTAGAATTTTCCACCTTCCTGAAGCTGGAAGAGTCTGAAACTATACAGCTGTACTGGAAAATCTCTGTAGGGCCAGTAAGAAAGTATATTTGCCTTTCACATTGTTCTAGCCTACTGTGTTTCAGCTGAGTCTGCCTTCTTTTCTGCACCTGCATAGTTCCTGATTCTGTAAAATGTTCTACATAGTGCACCAATAGGGTAGGACAGTGCCAGGTAACCTCTGCTGTGAAGGAGAGGTGAGATCCAGACACAGACGGATTTGAACACAGTCTGGTTACAGTGTATTATAACTTTCCTTTTATGTACATAAAAGTTGAAAGAAAATCCTTTCCTATTTTTACTTCCTGTGTTTTTTTTTCCCTTCAGGCAGATATACTCTATTCTGGGCACATCCTTGTTTAAAAAATTGCAGTGAATAAAGTGATACTGGCTGCAATAAAACTGCAGTAACTGACATGCGAACTGTTGCTATTTCTCGCTATATTTCCTATGCCTGAAACTGTCTGAGCATCACTCAGTTTCATTTAAAAGATCCATTGTAAAAGAGAAGGTAGAGACACAGGAGATTTTTAATTAAATGAAGTGTAGATTAGATCTCTCAAAAGGCATTAAGAATGAAACTCTGGAAATGTAGCATAAGCTTATTTGATCATGCTGATATAATGTGTATTATATGAGTTGGGTAAAACCTCTGGGCCCTACTGTGAATTCTTCCTTTCTTCACTGTTACTGGTTGCCAATGAAATTTTCTCTTGAGATCTGTTAGGAAAACTGGTGCTAACTTGTGGACAAAGATGAGAGTTAAAACCATCAAAGACTAGATTTGCTTTCTGAGATCCTGAATGCAAATCAGGCTGAAGTCACAAAAACCATTAATAGGGTGAGCTCATCCAAGTTCACTGTGGATACTTGTTCACAGACAGACCAAAAAAATACACAGGCCCCGAGATTGGCAATTGACACCATTCACTTGGTTTAAAGAGAAACACTATTCTGCAATGGCAGTGTTGTTACTGTTGTTACCAGATAGGAACTGGGCTTCATGTGTAGACATTGAAAAAGAGTGAAGAGTATGGTCTGCCTTACCATAAACACTCTATTGGTTTACACTAAGTCTTCTGTCCCCAAAAAATCAATAATTTCTGAATTAATAATGGTGTTGTTTGATTAGTTGGGTTCCTTGTGGTGTTACATATTTCAAAAAGAATTTTAAAGAAGGTAATCTCAATGTTTCTAAAAATGGGTCTGAGAAAAGCAAGGTGAAAAATGCAAGCACCCATGGACCTGCTGTTTGTGCCTTTAAGAACCTGCAGCAATTAACAAAGGCTTCAGCTTGGACGTTCCATTGCAAAAATCCTTAGGTGATTTGTTATGACTACTTGTATATGCTAAGCAAATCTTAACTCCAGAACAGCCAGAGGGTGGTTATTTTGCTTAACAGCCTTCTTTTGTAAAATATTTCACTTTTATAAAAATGTAAGTAAATGAAGAGCTATTTGCAGTGAAGTCTCTTTCCTATTAATTTCTGGTTTGATATGGAAATTATGCACAAGGGTAATTTTTTTAAGATGAAGAACATCCACATTTGGGTTTCCAACTTCCATAACCTTGAAGACTACCTTCTAGAAAACAGGTAGCCAGTATACCATCTCTCACACATTTTCATTTCAAGGGATCGCATTTTCAACAGAAGGGAGTTCAGCTCCTTCTAGTGCTTCATGGCAGCCTTTCAATAGACTGAGGTACTTCAGAATCCCTCATTCCTTTTAAAAACATTTACATTAATGCATAAACGTCAGAAGCCCTTAATTCTTACAGATGATAACTATCAGCAAGTGGAGTTGTGGCTGTAAATCAAATCTAATTTATGTGCCCAAAGGAGTTATTTAGGTTTTAAAAGAGTCAGTAGTATAAAAATGCTGTTCACGCCATTATTCATAATCATTTTGTCAGATTCAAAGTAAAATACAGAGCGTAATTTTGGCTTTAGGTACTGGAAGAGTCCAAGTGTCTCGTGCGGAGCTTCCTGAAATCTGGACTTGAAGATGTGAATGAGAAAGAG